TATCATGTCCTGATGTTTAGGGACACACCTGTCACTGTAGCTCTCATTCTCTTCACTAGATTCTGACTGAAATCTTCTCTGCTCTCCAAACTCTGTGGGTTTAATTATTCCTTATGTGAACATGTGAGAGCAGAGTGTATATGTTAGAGAAGTGTGCATGACAATATGAGACAAATCCTGTCCTGTGTTGATTCAGTAAGAGACGGAGGGGACGATCTGGTGTCAGACATTATATTCCTCTCTGTAGGTCGCTGATGGAAACTGTAGCGCTGGTTACAGGAACCATCTCTTTCTGTTCTGGCTGCATCTTCAACACTGTTGTTGAAGTAACACATTTATCTCGGTCTGGTTGTTATAGTGACGTTACAGACATGCACAGAGCGACAGGTACCAGAGCTCCACACGGACACTTTAGCAAATGATCATTAAATGTTCATTTACGTATCTGTTAAAAACAAAGCAGGGTTTGATCAATTAAAGGTGAATTAGTTTAGAAATGAACCACTGTTGGCAGTCAGCCACCAAGATCACCCACTGAGACTAACCACAGTGGGACTGACGAGCACTCGTACTGACTTGTACAGCAGCTCCCTCAGGGACGAGGAGGAGAAGAGACAGAGGAAGGTTTACTTTGTCTTATTTTATGGGTGCAGTCTGAATCCTCTGTGGGCTGTAATCAGTGATGGGTGAAAATGAACCAACAAGTCTTTTTGAACAAGTGTTTTCAGTGTGTGGTGTGAAGCCTGTCCAGCGTCTGAGTGCTCTTCAGTCCCCAACGTGCCGTAACGTAGTGCAGTCGAGACACTGAGTGAAGGACCGACTGAATCAGACTCAAGTCGAAACCTCTGTCAGTCAAGGCCAAAGGTGCATTCAGGTGCTCCTGGAATCTAAGTTCTTCCGACTTCAGCGTGTTCATTATAATGGAGATGACATGGACTCTAATCGGTGCATTAAAATAAAAACATTTATCTTCATTAACATAAACTCATCATGATGATGCATTCAGGAGAGGTTTTGTGTGTCGGACATGTCTGCACTGTCACAGGCTGTCACACCGTTCTGCAAAAAGTATCAAACTCCAAGTGTTTGATAACTTAACACAAATCAGTTCAAAGGAATCGATCGTGTGACAGAACCTGTCCGCCCGTCGCTGCTTTTAATGTGACACATGCAGGACGCTGTGGGTGTGATGAGCGGTGCAGCCTGTGGGGGGCGCTCACTGCACTGCAGAATAAACACAGGGATCATTTTCTGTCTCTGTGTCGCCCTGCAGCCGCTGCGTCCTCACACACATCAAGTCTCAGCTAAAGTCAAAGTACCTCTATAGTCACCACTGTGGGACACAAAGCATTCTGGGATACATGTCACACTTTGAATGTTTAAACACTGAGGACAGTGAAGGGGGAGACTCTGAAGCTTCTGCTCTGTGTGTGTGTGTGTGTGTGTGTGTGTGTGTGTGTGCACGTTCCTAAATAAAACTGTATAAAGTGAGGACAGTAAAAAGAGTTGACTGTGGTGGTTTACAGGGACACCTGGACATCACCTGTTTCAACACAAAGCAGAATGATGTGATGTGGAGGAGTGTTACTGGTCTGACCTCAGCCATCCCAGACCTGATCCCAGACCTGATCCCAGACCTGATCCCAGACCTGATCCCAGACCTGATCCCAGACCTGATCCCAGACCAGATCCCAGACCTGATCCTCTCCTCACAGTCACGGTCTGCATGCAGCAGGTTGATGAGCACCGGGGTGTGTCCACATACTTTTGGCCATGTAGTAAAGAGAGAGAGAGAGAGAGAGAGAGAGGGGGGGGGGGGGGGGGGGGGGGGGGGGGGGGGGGGGGGGGGGGGGGGGGGGGGGGGGGGGGGGCACCGTGTGTGAAGCTCCGCCCCCCGCGGGACGCACCGGGAGCAGCAGTGAGGACGGGGCCGGTGACCGAGACAAACGCTCCTTCTGCAGCTGCAACAAACTTTCTTCTTCTTTGTCCTGATTTCTGGTCCGACCCGGTCCGGCTCGGCTCGGCTCGGCTTGGTTCTGCAGCGGCGGAGCGGAAAGTTTGGGTCCGGGAGCAGAAAGGAGGGACCCGGGCAGAGCGGGATCAGAGACCGAGCCGGTCCTGCTGCGGGGCCGCGGGTCTGTGTGAAACTCTGAAAGTGCAGCTGTTACATAAGAGACACAAAGAAGACCTGAACCCGGACCAAGAGCTCCGGGACCCTGATCCGGACTCCGCTGGACCGGTTACTCTTATCAGGACGCACATGGACGGAGCGGCGGTGTGCGCGCACGCGGGCCTGCAGCGGCTCTGATCCGGTTCCGACGGTTCACAGAAAACATGAAACTTTTGGACAGTTGGTCCCGGAGCCGGATCGGGACCCACGCGCCGGTTTTAAGGTGAAGAAGCAGTCGGATGGATTATTGATCACCAGTCAGAGAATGAGTATTGATTATTGATCTGATCAGATCATCGTCAGTGAGCCTCGGAGTCTTTGATGTGTTCTGGTTCCGGTCCCTGCGGGTCTGCACGCGCTCACAGCTGAAGACAAGAGACGCGGATGTTCGGCGGGACGCAGCGCGCCGCTCCGCCGCACATGGAGCGCTCCGGGCGACCGCTGCTGCCGCTGCTGCTCGGCCTCCTGCTCCGGCTCTGCTCCGCCGTCACCGACGACCGACTCATCTCCGACCGGTACGCGGTCTACTGGAACAGCTCCAACCCCAGGTGAGACCCAGACCCGGGCCGGTGTGAGACCGACCGGGGACAGGGGAGACCGGGAGCAGTTGGAGCAGAGCAGAAAACTGTGAAATGCTCCTTTAATCCCCAAAACTTTAGTTCACGAACCAGATGTTCTTTTTTCTCTTCATCCACAAACACAGTTTGTTGATCTGACCTCAGCTCTGTTTTTATTCTCAATGTTTTAATCAAACTGAAGAAAAGAGTCAAATTAAACAGTTTTATCTTTCAGCCATAAAAAAATCATCTGTAAATAAAAAACATCATCAGGATGAAGCAGCTGCAGAATCAAAGAGTTAACGACTCTGATGTGAGATTATAATCCAGATTAATGAGAGTTAAACAGCTCAGTAACGAAGATACAAACTGAACCATCAGTCGGAGTCATCGGGCCGAGGTGGAGACTCTGGGGGGACGCAGGGGACACGTCCCCGTCACTATTTACAACATGTGCATTTGTGCATGTGCTCAGTGAAAATATGAGACGTCTTAAACTGCTGCAAAACTATTCACCACAATGAAGAAAATTAAATGTTTGATGCTCCAGATTTTCTTTGGGACGACTCCCAACATCTGGTTTCATATATGTACTTCCCCCTTGATGCTAAAGTGACCCCGGGCCCCTCTGAGGCCCCTCTGAGGCCCCTCTGGACTCACTCTGTACAGACTGACAATATTGGTCATATTAATATAATAAAAATAAAAACAGATAAAATCTCCCACGTATTGATTTTATTCAGTCAAAAACTTTCAAATGTCAAAGTGTTCAGACAAAAAGGTCATTTTAAAAATCTGATTTTTTTTTTGTGACAAATTAATTAAATAATTCTGTAGAATAACATTCAGTTCAATTAACAACAAAAATAATTTCAATGAGTCGTTAATTGTTGAAGTCATTTAAAAAGTAAAAACATTTAGAGACGTCAAGATGAACATTTTCAACAGTTTTCTAATATTGACTAAATGAATAATTTCTTTGGGACAGGTTAGGGACTGTTCTTAATTTATCAGAGGAAGTGGCGTGCTGCGGTGTGACGCTCCCTGACTGACCCTACCTCCACCATGAACCAGTTATTAGATTTTTAAAACTAACCCTTTGAAGTTTCCTGACGTTAAAAAAAAAGTCAGTTTTTCACTGTCGTCATGCAAGCAGTTTATTTTTGGCCGAATCTTAAAAGAGACATAAAATAAAGTGATTTCGATGACGTATTTTCAGATCAGACTTTTTATTTTTTCTGATGGAAGTGTTCATGAGACACGATGTGTCGAAGGACCGTCAGGAATTTTAAAATCCAACAATAGTTTCTGTTTTTTACAGTTTCTGGTCGATAAATGATGTAACTTTGGTGATTTTTAACGAAAATATTCAACTGCGTTTTCTTTAAAAGTTGGCCGTAAAATAAATTAAAAAATACAAATTAAATCTTTACCCCCCCCCCCCCCCCCCCCCCCCCCCCCCCCCCCCCCCCTCCAGTAAATAACCAACCGTCCCTGATAAATGACAATAATCTATAAATAAACAAAGTGCGTCGGAAGCTTTGGTCTGAAAACTCGACTAAAATCATTTCATAACAACAAAAACGATGAACGAAGACACTGTAAAAGTTCAGACAATTAAAATGATTATTGAATGATTTAAACTGATATTGATCATTTCATTTCTTTTCTCTATACACGAAATGATTTGAAGTTAACAGGAAGTGTGTTACAGTAAAAACAGTCCTGACTCAGATCTTCACTCTGTGACTCCGTCTGAATCTAAACTCATTTTATTAAAAACCCGTCGTATGAATCTGAAACACGCGGCAGACGTTTATATAAAAACACAGAGTTTTAAACATGTACTTCCTGTTCCATCTGACCCCGGTCTCCCCTACAGCCCTGTGACCTCTGACCTCTGATCACTGTCTTCTCTTCTTCTGTGGTTTTTGGTCATATTTCAGTGTCAGTTCTGACTGAACTCTGATCTCTGTCCTCTGATTGGCTGTCTGCTGTCTGAACGGTCCAACAGGAGTCTGAAGTGTTTGCTGGTTTTGTGGTTTTATTTTGGCGGTCTCACAGTAGGAAGGAAATAAACCGGAGAAATTAAAGTTAGAGAACAAAAACACGTTTCAGTCCTCGGAGAAAACTACTTTGTGTGTGTGTGTGTGTGTGTGTGTGTGTGGCCTGCCTTGTGTGAGTTTACAGCTTCCTGGTCCGTGTTTTTCTGCAGTATTCCTACTGTTGTTTCTGTGCTATTATAGTATAGTTTTCTGCTGTATTGATGAAGTTCCTTCTGCAGTATTCCCACTGTGGATTCCTGAAGATTTCCTGCAGTCATTTTTGTAACATTCCTGCAGTATTCCTTCAATATTATTCATAGTATTCCTGTGATATTTTTGTGGTGTTTCTGTAGTATTTCTACAGTATCCCTGTGTGTGTGCCTATAATATTCCTGCAGTGTTCTTTGCAGCATTCACAGTATTTTAGGCAGTATTCCTGTGTGTATTCCTGCAGTATTTCTGTAGCATTCCTGAAATAATCATGCAGTGTTTTCTGTAATATTCCAACAGTATCCCTGTGTGTGCGCCTATAATACTCCTGCAGCGGTCTTTGAAGTATTTCCTGTATTATTTCCCGTAATATTTCCTGTAGTATTTCCTGTATTATTTCCCGTAGTATTTCCTGCAGTATTTCCTGTAATATTTTGTGTAGTATTTCTTGTAATATTTCATGTAGTATTTCCCGTAATATTTCCTGTAGTATTTCCTGTAATATTTTGTGTAGTATTTCCTGTAGTATTTCCTGTAATATTTCATGTAGTATTTCCTGTAATATTTTGTGTAGTATTTCC